ACAAACAAAAAAGAGATAGGTCTATATCATGATAAACATGTTTTTTTTTATTATTCACAGATTTTCTGTGCTACGGTATAAGTGGTTCGGTAAGGTCGTTTCAGATTATTTGGAATCTTGCCCAATGTAACGTTAAATAAAAAACAGGAAAAACTCAATCGGCTTTCAGTGCCAATCGTTTTACATTCACTCATCTCGTTGCACTTTTCAATACATTGGTCTTCATTTACCTCATACGACACGAAGATGAATGGTGTTTCGTAACGTAGACATCTTTTAAACCAAGTCATGGTAGAAGTGGAACATCTGATATCGTTAGCACAGTTTTCATCACATTCCGCTGAATCAGATACTAAACTTCCTTTGTAGGAATAGGGCTCCAAACCTGTTTCATTTGTATACTTGTATTGACATTCTGAAAAATGAAATGAATGGAATTTTACGTCCTATTTTTCTAATTGGACTAAATGAAGACGGACAACGCCATGCAGTGTACAATGAGGGAAATTTTGTACTTGTACCCTCATTCTAAAATATCAATGACAATTTGAAAAATGAAATGAATGGAGTTTTACGTCCTACTTTTCTGCACCATGTGATTGAGGACGGGCAACGCCATGTAGTGTGCAACGAGGGAAATTTTTACCAGGACAACGGCATTAACCTACTCTTTTTCGATTTCCAAATGTTGAGATATCTTTAACGTTCACAGCCTGAAGGACATGGGGCCTCAGTTTATTGTCCCATCTGAACAACTAGAGGTTTTTTTAGATTTCCAACTGTCGAGGGATCTTTAACGTGTACAGTCTGTAGCACACGTAGAGCGGAGGAAAGCGGCAAAAACCTACTGCTATGTAGAAATGTCTAAATCAAAACACAAATGTAACATAATGCGATACAAAATACCTCATACGTCTAATGCAAAAGACAAAATACATGAAAATTCTAAGTACAGATACATTCAACATATTGCTAAATTAAAATTATCAACACCTAATATAAATATTGAAACTGGAAGATTTAAAAAGACTGAAAGAAACGATAGAAATGGCGGTGATTAGGCCTAATCATCAGAATTTAGGT